CCCCAAAACCCCAAAACCCCAAAACCCCAAAACCCCATAAGTGTAAAATTTAAGATAAATGGAGGATATATCCTAAGAAATAAATCATTACGTCATTTTAGCGTTAATGAAGATTTACTCAATTATCAAAACATTCTCTTTCTTAAATACTCTGCAGTTAGTAAGGTTATGATGGCATGAGGACCAACTCTGAAGTAGTAAGTTGGGAGACCAGCCCAAAAGCCAGTAATACCCTCTCTAGCAGCTGTCTTATAGGCACAATCTAGGAACCCTGAGTAAGGTAATGTGCCATCAGGAGCTCTCTTCATTTTTTGAAGTTTTGTCTTTATATTATCGAATGGTAATGAAGCGGTACTGGTAGCACAAGCTGATAGCATAGATGCTGCGAATAAGATAGCTTTTTGATTTGCATCTTTTCCAAATCTTTTAGTCAATCTCTCCTTAGCCTCATCATAAGTGACAAGCATTGCAACGTTAAGAGACATTGCTCTGGCAATAGTTGGGCTGGCACCATTCCAGCAAGAGGTGATTCCTTCTTCACTAACGATTCTTCTGAATGCATCAAAGACATTTTTGTAGTTTCTTCTCTCAGCTTCTGGTAGAGTAGAATCAGCTTGCATTCTTACTAATACGAGATCACATGGATTACCAACGAATGATCCAAATGCTCCAGCAAAAAGGGAAGCGCCTGTTTTTTATAAAGTAGTCATATTGGCTCCTCCATTTACTTGCTCCTTAATGTAATCACTCAAGTTAAAGTATATTCCTAATCTGAGAGTTGCATAGATTGCTTATCTTAGTAAAGCTGAATCAAGACTATACGATTATTAATAAAACATTACCCTCTATAAAAAGCTTTAATTCCTCCTTCATTAGCGAATATTTCTCTGGCAACATTGAAAGGAGATAAATTTCCAGCTTTTGCCTCACTCTTAAGCTAGATTCTCACCTTAATCATATCGATTGGTTAAATCTATCAATTTATTAAAATGATTATTCATTACACAAGATGTAGCCATCATTCCTGACATACCACCAATCGCAAAGTTCTTTGCTTGATCAAATGTTCCTAAAATCTTAGAGTAATTATGATACCTTTTTTTTCAGCCATTTATGATTTTAATTTAAAGATATTAATTCTCTGTTTCTTCTTAGATTTTTAAATTCGATATTAAGGGGTTTTGGGGTTTTGGGGTTTATTTCTTTTTGGTTTTCTTATGAGTGAGCTATAA